TTCCATTCTCCCTTTCATCCGCATTCCCTTTCCCCATCCCAGCAGTCTGGGATCACTAAGCACTTAATCTCCAACTGTTCTGATTTAGCAGAGGCAGTCCCAATTAATCCTCTTTTTAAAGCTTCTTTTACAATGCTTTGATTTCTTTCCTTTCCCACGTTCCTCCTTTGTCCTCAGCTTGCTTCCATTGCTGCAAACGGAGTTCAAAATGCAAAAGTGGTTTGCACTTTGGATAAAGCAATTCCAGATCAAAGTAAAAATAAAACTAATTTAAAAGAAAGTGCAAAAGGCATTTGCATTCAATTCAGCAGGAGAGAGAAGAGAGTGGAATCTTGACCTTCCCAGCTGGCTCAGGCAAAAGCAAACTGCTTCAGCCCCTCTTTGCTTGTACATTCTTCCAAATTCACAGCTCTTGCCATGTAGACTCTGATGTTGCTTGGCCACACATGTCCCGGGTTTTTTAACTGTGAAATGTTGGAGAGTATGTGAGCATGTTGGGCCCTTGGTGGGTTTATTTAGAGGGCCCTACCCCTCAAGGATTTTTAAAGCTGCTTTTCCCCCTCTATTTCTGCAAACTTTGATAACTGATTTTGTATTTGCATTTCTGGAAACCACCAGGCTGTTGCTATACCTTTCTGTTCTGCAAATGTGGTGATGTTTGGCTGCATGAGCATCAGCGTTCCCACCACAACATCAGAAACAGAGGGAAGGATCACACATTGATGGAGGAGAAAGAAATCACCCTCATCTGTACATTAAAACATATAGTGGTAGATGTTCCTTCTTTGCCTCTTGGTTCTTAAAAACGTAGTCTAGTCGTGCATTACTCCACTGGAAATTATTCTGATTTTGTGTGTGAGACAGATAATTCAGAAAGGAACAGGTGTGAGTCTCTAGATATGTGTGTTTCAGACTGGAATTTAATAACATTTTAGCAATTCAACATTATTGTGACCTTTTTGCTATTATATACAAACATGAAAATATACATCTGTTAATAAACTATCTGGAATTATTGCATATTAATTGTTAGTGCCTGGTGGATTTTTTTCCCTAATTTCTTTGGGATTGAAGGAAAATCTCACGGGGGAGCAGTATTCTTACTAAAGGAAGACATTCTTTTTAAAGGAATTCTCATGAAGGGCTCTCATTTCCTTCTTCCTGTAGCTACAGCCCAGGTTCTGCCTTCTTCAGCCGCTCAAAAGAGTCATAAGATCATTTATTGTTCTGTACTATTATTATCTTCCTCGCCGTCATTTTGTCTGGATGTCAGAATAAGAGAGTACAGAGCCCAAAGGGGGTAAAGAGTTCCAGCTGAGCCGGTCTTGCTCTCAGCCTGCATGCATGGATTGCTCTCATGCATGCATGCATGCACACTGGAGTGCCACATGGCGGGAAGTTGGCGCATGGCAAGCCCAGGGGGTACTGCGTGTATCAACAACTAGACGTAAATAAAAGTTGCACAGAGGTAGATGGTGCCATTTGGTGTGAAAGAACTGATCAGCCCTCTGTGTAAATCACTGGCGTACCTGCCTCACATGTAAAAGGTCTTGGGAAGGCGTTCTGAAAGCCTGGAGAGAGAGACTGCTTGTTAGACAGATTTTGCAACAGCCAAGACTCACATTACATTTTGGGTATGTAATTGGATATGGATACGGATACGGATATGTAATTGGTTGGATATGTGATTAGTTGACTGGTTGAACCCAAATGGTGCTCACCAATGGCTCCTCCTGGAGTTTAACATAAATCAATCCACAAGCTGAACATGAGGCAGTTTTGTGATGCAGCAGCTAACAAAATCAATGCGATTCTAGGCTGCATGGATAGTATAGTAGAATCCCAGAATTATAGCATAGTAGAATCATAGGAGTTTATCACACGGGAGGAAATTAGGAGTTCAAACAAGAATTAAAACTGTGCAATTGACATTAAAACGTGATTAAAATGACATTAATACAGCCATTATCCTGTGAATAACCAGGGACTAACCAGGCAATAATCAGCAAAAAGGCATTCATGGGAAAATCCCGTGAATGATTTGCTGCTGTTTCCTGCCTGGTTATTCACGGGTTAGTGACACTTTAGTCATGTTTCACTTCGATGTGTGAAAACTGTTAGCGCAATTGCGCCATAATAATGGGTTATTCACAAGATAATATCACTTTGGACATGACATTGTGTGAAAACCATTAGCACAGTTGTGGGATAATCATGGGTTAATTGCCATTTACACTTCCAATTGTCCCCCAAGTGATAATTGTAAATTGTAAAAGACCCCAATGGCCATCCAGTCCAATCCTCTGACTTGCCTCTGAGACAGCGTGACTTGCCTTGGTGGGCTTATATGGCTGAGTTGGGATTTGAACCTGGGTCTCCAGAGTCATATAGTCCAATACTCAAACCACTAGGCCATGCTGGCTCTACTACTACTACTACTACTTCTTCCTATCATCATAGAATGATAGAACTAACATCATATTTTTTTGCTACTCTTTCAGAGCACTGAATGAAGAAAAAAGAAGTAATTTCCCCATTCCCCCCCAGGTTGCATCCGCACTGCAGAATTAACCCAGTTTGACCCCACTTTAACTGCTCTGGATCAATGCTATGGAATTCTGGGAAATGTCTGTTTGAGCACCAGTGCACGCTGACAGAGAGAATTAGAGGTCACGCAAAACTACAGTTCCCAGAATTCTATAGCATTGCGTGGCAGATAAAGGGTGCCAAACTGAACAGGGAAGAGAATGTGACGGGCCTCCTATCCAACCAGAGAGGACGACAGAATCAAGCGCCGTTTTTGATTGGATAATCTCTTTTGTCCCGCCCTCCTCCCGCCCCCAAACTGTGAGGGGCGGCTGTTTAAAAAAAAAAGGGCGGCCTCGTTGAAGGAAAAGAGAACGGCCCGCGCTTCTCTGATTCTTCATCCTGATTGGCGGAAAGAGGAAACTCTTCACTCTCATTGGCTTTCCCGCAATGCTTCAACCCGATGGAGGCGAGGATAAATCCCTCAAAGAGATCGTAGCTGAACAAATGGGCGGAGCTTAAGAAGGACAGGGTCTGCATCGGAGCGAGACTGGGACTGAAGAGAGGGGCGTGGCTATGGCTATGTTGTTAACCCGAGCAAGCGAGGGGCGGGACTCAGCAAGGAAGAAAGGGGCGTGTCTATGTTTGTGACTGATAAGATTATTGAGGAAAGGCGGGACGAGGGGGCGTGGTTGCGTGGTGACGTAAGCAACAACGGCCGAAGTGACCCAAAAATCGGGAAGACGCTGGAAGGTTTTGGGTGTGGTGAGTTCGAGGCCCCCTTTCGCCAACGTGGGCGCTGAGGTAAAGTTAAAGTGAATTAATTTAAAAATAGAAAGGTCAGGAGGGGCCGGTCAGGTAAGCCTTTGTGGTGGGGGGCGAGTGTTCAGCTGTGTGACTTTTCCCTCCCATAATAGGTAGAGGGATATTTGGAGGATATTTTCCTCATTTCTCGCCTTCTTCACACCTGACCCTCAAACAGTAGAAATTATACTCCCCCCGTCTTTCCTCAGTCGTTACTTAATTATTTTTTTAACTTTTGTAATTAGTGTTTTACTTCTGCCTTTTTAAATTAGTGTAACCCGCCTTGAACCAAATAAGTAAATAAATAAATAAAATAGTGTCTTGGGGGTAAAAATTTTAAGGCGTTTGGTCCCTTTTGAGTGGGTCTGTTTTAGAAACAAAGTTACTACTCTTGTTGTTGTTATTGTTATTCTTATTATATCTTATTTTCTTATATCCTGTCTCTCCCAACATAGGGACTCAAGGCAACTAACAGCAAATTCAAAACAATACCATTTACTACTGCTACTAGTATTATATCTTATTTTCTTATATCCTGTCTTTCTCCCAACATACTCAAGGAGGCTAACAGCAAATTCAAAACAATGCCATTTACTATTATTATTATTATTATTATTATTATTATTATTATATTCTGTCTTTCTCCCAGCATAAGGACTCAAGGCAGCTAACAGCAAATTCAAAACAATACCATTTACTACTGCTACTAGTATTGTATCTTATTTTCTTATATTCTGTCTTTCTCCCAACATACTCAAGGCAGCTAACAGCAAATTCAAAACAATACCATTTATTATTGTTGTTATTATTATTATTTTCTTATATTCCGTTTTTCTCCCAACATAGGGACTCAAGGCAGCTAACAGCAAATTCAAAACAATACAATTTACTATTATTATTATTATTTTTAACCTATTATTCTTACACTATTGTTGTTGTATGCCTTCAAGTTTTTTCCGGCTTATGGCAACCCTTATCACAGTGTGTTTGTTGGGTTTTTTATGCTTTCTTTCAGAGGGAGTTTGCCATTGCCATCCACTGAGGCTGAGAGAGTGTGACTTGCCCAAGGTTACCCCAGTGTGTTTCCATGACTGAACCCTGGTCACTAAAGTCACAGTCCAACACACAAACCACTACCAGCTCACCCAGGCTGCATCCACACTGCATAAATCATCCAGTTTGAGACAGCTTTAACTGCCCTGGCTCAGTGCTAGAGAATGCTGGGAACTGTAGTTTATTGTGGCACCAGAGCTCTCTGACAGAGAAGGCTAAATGTTTGTTGTTGTGAGCCTTCAAGTCCCTTCCAACTTATGGCAACCCTCAGGCAACCCTGTCATGGGGTTTTCTTGGCAATTTCCATCAGAGAGGGTTAGCCATTGCCATCCTCTGAGGCTGAGAGAGTTTTCATGGCCGTGCTGGGATAAGGTTATAATAATATTATTATATAAATGTATATAATATCTTGTCTTTGAGATTGGGATTCACAGCAAATGATTACAGTCTAGTTAAAAACATACCAAAACATGCAATGTTAAAATAGAATAAAATTAGCATGAAGAAATGTCATAAAAACACTTTTAAAAGTAAAACAATGTTTACATGATTCGCATCTGCTTAAATACATATGTATTTGAAACGTGCACTTTAAAATGTATAATTTAAAATGGAGAGCCAGCGTGGTGTAGTGATTTGAATGCTGGATTTGGACTCTGGAGACCAGGGTTTGAATCCCAGCTGAGCCATGAAACCCTGTGGGTGATCTTGAGTAAGTTACTCTCTCTTAACATAAGAAGGATGGCAATGGCAAACCCCCTCTGAAGGAAATTGCCAAGAAAATCCAGTGATAGGGTCACTTTAAGGTGGGAAATGATTTGAAGGCACACAACAACAACAACAACATAATTTAAAATAATGCAGCACCCTGATATAGGGTTATAGTTATAAAAAAGTATTAATTCTGCACAAAAAATGCTCAAGATGTAAGTCAAAATGAACAGCATGATTTGTTAAAGCAATAGCATAACAATGGTGGTTATTTTAACAGCTGTTAACGTTTTAAAGTTATCGATAGTTTATTTATGAATTTATTAATTGCTTTTTGACTAGGTAATTTACTTTTTAATAATAATAATAATAATAATAATAATAATAATATTTATTTGTATCCTGCTTATTGGCGACAATCCAAGCGGCTTACAGTAAAAAAAAAACCCACATCATTTCATCCGACCAACCCGTCCCCCTTAAAACAGCATTAAGTAAAGTATGATTAAAATAACAATAAACATAGAATAAAAACATAAACATAGAATAAAAACATAAACAAAAACATACATACTTAAACAGGTTACGGTACCCTGGTCAGTCTCTACTGCATTCCCCATCCATCAACATGATGGGGCCATGATAGGGATGCAGGAGCCAAAAAGTCCTGGCCAGGATAATTAGTCTGGAAAGGCCTGCTGGAAGAGATCTGTCTTGACAGCTTTCTTGAAG